TGTCCATCTTCATATTATGGTAATATGTTTTGCATTTTCCAACTTGTTTGTAATTGTTTCCATTTCACCTATGATGTGCATTCTATCTCCTGAAGTAGATTATTTTCATCTGAACAACAGAGGTAATGGGGATGGCCAGTTAGCTCAGTTGGTTAGAGCACAGCTTTATAACACCAAGGTCATGGGTTCAGATCCCTGAATGGGCCAACCACCAAAAATAAAAAAGAATGGAGTTAATGTATTCTAATTATTTAACAATGTAATTTTATGTTTTACATGATGCTTAGTGAAGATTCACACACACAATATGTACTTAAAATACTGGTCTGACCATTTAAGCATCCCTAGTAAACACAGAACTACTTAATGAATGACAAAATACACAAGTAGTTAAAGAACTGAGCTGTTGTTAACATTTTACCTGCTCCATTTTGATCAGGAAATAATCAATGAAGTCCCGAGGATTGTTAATATCCAGTGATTCTTGGTGTTCTTTTACTCTCTCCAAAATATAACTTTTTGTATGAGCAATATTTTTAAGTAATGTTTTATGAGTCCCTGGGAAATAATCAATGAGAGGAGGAAAACTATTGCAGACCTAAAAGAAAAAAAACAAACAAACAATAATTTATTAGGTAAAAAAACAAAAATTAATGAAGACATATACTGTATACCAAGCCCCAAAAGTCATAACTTTTCGAGTGCCAACATGATGCCACAGATCAAAAATTCCACACCTGACCTCACGTGACCAGTTGCAGTCAAAATTTTGTTTCATGAAGAAAATTATTAAAAATATTGTATTAAGTTACCTTCAGCCTACATGTATAAGGTATATATAAAATATAAATGAATTTAGTGTTTAAACGATGGACCCATCCCCAACATATCTCATTATGCATATGCAAATATTCCAAAATCTGAAAAATTCCAAAATTTGAAACACTTCTGGTCCCAAGATTTCAGATAAAGGATACTCAATCTGTATCATAATTCTCTATACTTAGAAGATTTGATAGAGAGAATTCTGACCAGAGGATCAAAGATGATTATTATTTCCTAGGTTCAGACATCATTTTTACACTATAAAACCATCTTTATATCAATTTTCTCATTTTTACATCAATTCTTCCCTACAAACTTGAAATACAAGATAGCATGAATTATTATGGTTCACATTTTTTGTGGATGACAACACAGGTTAAGGGAGTTTGGGCTACCTGATTTAAAGCACAAAGCTATATCCTACTATTTTAATTTCTATCAAGCAGCCTCAGAAATGGAATCAGTATTGTAGAATTGATTCCACTTTGAGCATCCTATAGAGGCTCAAAGATACTTTGAAACCCAACAGTGCACCAGAGCAGTTAACTGACTTCTACAAGATCACATTATTATTGAGGCAGAATGAAGAACACAACAATCCAACACAGGGTAAAATTTTGATGTTTGTTTATGGTTCATACACATAAAACCAATTATTTTGTCATTCATAACACAGTCAGCTAAGATCCCAGCTGAAGCATCAAACAACCCTACCCTACTCAGTGTTTCCTGGCAACTTGTATTGTCCCAAGTACTCTCACTTCTTGAAGGAGATATTATCTTCTTAAATCAGGATATTTTTATCAAGTAATATGACAAAACATCTGTGAGTGTTGACTGGAGGACAAGCCTTGTGAATAATGGAAGCTTTCAAAAGGGGCCCAGAGGTCCACTGAGTGATATGGGCATCCTTTGGACAGTCACCAAAGTACTTTATAGAAATAGCTTTGGTGTTTAGTGGAAAAATCACTGGTTAGGGTACTAACAGGATTGAAAGGCAGCTGTATATTTGTGCATTTGTTTTCTTGTGTGTAAATAGCTCAGCCATCTTTCCCAGATGTGCACTCCATGACACTCAGGCAGGACTGCAATTTGCACACATTCACTCCACAGCATGTTGCATATATAATTTTGCACTTGTTGAGAAAAAAAAAA